CCCGTGTCCCCCCTTGTCCCTCCACGTCCCTGATGTCCCCACTGTCCCCGTGTCCCCCATGTGTCCCCGTGTCCCCCATGTGTCCCCTTGTCCCTCCATGTCCCCAATGTCCCCATGCCACCCAATGTCACCCACTGTCCCCATGTCCCCAGAGTGTCCCCATGTCGTCAGTGTCCCCATGCCCCCCCCATGTCCCCATGTCCCTCCATGTCCCTCCATGTTCCCCCATGTTCCCCAATGTCACCCACTGTCCCCATGTCCCCAGAGTGTCCCCATGTCACCCCCATGTCCCCATGTCCCTCCATGTCCCTCCATGTTCCCCCATGTCCCCCAATGTCACCCACTGTCCCCATGTCCCCAGAGTGTCCCCATGTCCCCCCCATGTCCCCATGTCCCCCCATGTCCCCATGTCCCCAGGGTCACAGTGCTCCTCCCCGACTCCATCACCACCTGGGAGATTCAGGCCATCGCTGCCCTGGGTCACAGCGCTCCTCCCCGACTCCATCACCACCTGGGAGATTCAGGCCATCGCTGTCATCCCCGGCCACGGTGAGTGTCACCTCGGTGTCCCCACGGTGTCACCTCAGTGTCCCCATCTCCCTCCCCATACTGTGCCCATGTCTCCACCCCCCCCGCAGTGTCCCAGTGTCCCCCCCATCCCTGTCACCCCACAGTGACATGGACACCCCATGTCCCCACATCTCCTGCGGTGTCCCCAGGCAGCAGCGACCCCCAAGGTGATGCCACCATCCCATGTCACCCAGGAGGTCCCCAAGGGGCAGTGTCCCCATGTCCCCATGGTGTCCCCAGGTCCCTCCATGTCCCCCCATGTGCCCCATGTCTGCCTGTTCCACATGACCCCCCATGTCCCCCCATGTCCCTGCCCCACGGTGACGCCGCGCTGGCAGGGCTGTGCGTGGCAGTGCCCCACCGGGTGACGGTGACCCAGGACGTCTACGTGAGGCTGCAGCTGCCCCCCAGCACCCGCCCCCACGAGCAGCTCCAGCTCCTGCCCCACATCCACAACAGGCTGCCCCACAGCGTCAACGTGAGTCCCCAACCCCATAGATACCCCCCGCTCCATAGACACCCCTCTGCCCCATAGGTGCCCCCCCCTTCTAGCCCATAGATGCCCCTCTGCATATAGATGCCTCTCTACCCCGTAAATGGACCTGTGCCCCATACATACCCCCCCTGCCCCACAGATACTCCCTTTGGCCCATAGATGCTCCTCTGCCCCATAGATATCCCCTACCCCATAGATACACTCCTCCTCCCCATAGATACCCCTCTGTGCCCCATTGATAACCTTTCTGCCCCAAAGATCCCCCCTGTGCCCCATAGATCCCCCTGTCCTATAGATACCTCCTGCCCCATTGCCACCTCCTGCCCCATAGATGCCCGCTGTGCCCCATAGATACCCCTCTGTGTCCCATTGATGACTTTTCTGCCCCATAGCTGCCCCCTCTTCCCCACAGTCACTCCCCTCCCCATTGCCCTCCGTGACCCATAGCTACCCCCCCCTG